TGGTTACTTTTGGCCTGCTGTACATGAGACCCCTACAGTGGTGGCTTAAGACCAAGGGGTTCTCCCGAGGGGAAACCCGCTTTGCATGCTCAAGGTCACGCGGCGGTGCCTACGTGCCTTAGACATGTGAAGGAAACCTTGGTTCTTATCTCAGGGCCCAGTGCTGGGAGCTCCTGGTCGCCGCGTATGCTAGCAACGGATGCATCTCTCACCAGTTGGGAGCGGTCATGAGTGGACACTCGGCCATCTCACATTGTTTGCGACTCAGATGATATCGCACGGTCCCCTCTGGTTCTCTCTCTGACTCATCCAGCTCCACTGGGGCTGGATGCCATCCTCTCACAGGTGGAGGGCTCTGAGGAGGCACAACTCATTGCTTCCGGTCTCTCAACCAAGGTTGTTGAGACCATCCTCCATCCAGAGCTCCCTCTATGAGGAAACTGTACTTCTTGGTGCGGAGACCGCCAGCTCAACCCAGCTAACTGCCCGTTTGGTACAGTTCTGGAGTTCCTGCAGGCCTGTTTATCTGCAGGGTTGACCCACTCCACCCTAGAGGTCTTCGTGGTGGCCATTGCGGCCTACCACGCCCCTCTTGGTGGCCATTCAGTGAGAAGACACCCCCTTCTTACACATTTCCTCCGCAGTGCGCTGAGAGTGCGCAGGTCACTCCTCCAGAAGTTGGCCTTCAGGGTTTGCTCGAGTTCCTGAAGGGGAACGTCTCCAGGTTACGCATGTAACCATGGTTCCCCAAAGGGAACGAGACGCTGCGTCTCAGGGCCATACATTCGGCATCCCTGCCAGCGCTTGCTTCACTCCTAGAAGCTGACGCTGGTCTCACCGCACGTGCTTTTATAGCTCCCTGGTCATTACGTCCCCCGCCGTGACGTCTCGCCCATCTATTGGTCTGATTACACACGAGTTCAGAGCCGGTCACGCTGAAAGGCGTTCCCCTAGCGTTTTCCGACGCACCTCGAGTTCCTGAAGAGGAACGTCTCAGGTTACGTATGTAACCATGGTTCCCCGAAGGGAACGAGACGCTGCGTTCCCTTCGGGGAACCATGGTTACATGCGTAACCTGGAGACGTTTTCCATTCTATGGCATTTTTAATTAAAGTTCCTGGAGGTCTAGTCTCTAAATTTCCATTGACGCAAAGTCAATCTTACACTGTTTTTGTGATGTAAGTACTTCACATTTAATTTCTCATAATTATTTTGATAAATGTTTAAGCTGGCAGCTTTAATTCTTTGTAAAAGTAGTAAACAATAAATCCTAAACAGGAAAACAGCATGATTTCTGTGTAAATACATATTCTACAAAATGCCACCATTGCATTGTCTGTTACAGAAAAAGGGAGAAAACAATATAATTTTTTAATAAATATATTAATTTATGAAGGAATTATTCATGGTCTATGTAGAAACAATTTTGGATCTGGACCACCGCTAATCTGTGATCTCTGGTGTAGGCTATAGAAATGGGTCTCTGGCTTGAAAGAAATTTAAGTCTACGATATAAACAGAATGTAGTTTTTGCTGGATGTTTTTTTTTCTTATAAGTTTCCAGGTGATCATTACCTTTTTAGTGTATTTTTTCTGTAGCCTATGGATAATTGAAATTGATACTTAGCAGAAAGTTGAGACACATTTAAATATTGCTTATGGATTTCTTGCAAGAGTAAAGCACAGGACAAGCAGATCTGGAGTAAATATAACAACAACCATAAAAAATAAAAGGAGTTCTACTAGAACTACCCACAAAAGTGTGGGTGGTTTGTTGTTAGCTAACCAAAATGCGATTGGCTTCAGCAATGGCCCAGTAAATGGATGTTTTCCCCGACAACAAAGACAATAAACAACAGCACTTAGTGAACTCTCAAACTCTTAATTACCTATTAAGCACAGTCAGCTTGTCCATCTTCTTTCTGTGTCTCCATAAGGGCCTTCTTGCTTGGAGAAGCCTCCAGTAGTACAAACACACTGAGCTGCATAATGGGAGTGGTCCCAGCACAGAGCCTTGCAGCACCCCAGTACATCAGTGCAGATTAAAAGTTGTAATGTGGGCAGGTACAAGTTGTTTTGCCACCATGTGTCACATGACCAAATCATCTATTAGATTCATTCAAGCTTTTCATTTTTCCAATCTAGCTTGAATCCTCTAAACCTCCTACATACTAGCTCCTTGCTTTTGTTCATGATTAGAATGGCATTAAAAATGTACTTAATCTAAAAAATGTTGTCATCACAAACCTTTATGCCATTCCCCATATTATCTTCTTTTGTATGTTAACCACTAAAGGAGATACTAGTTGAAAGAAACAAAATAAAAATTAATTAAAAATTTAAAAATAATTTAAATTCCGTATAAAGTACCATAAAAGTTGTCCATATGACCTGTGAGCTATATTTGGCTGCCAGGGCCTGAATGTAAATAAGAAAATAATTCTTAATTGACTTGGCTGGCTAAATTAAATGTGAACAACAATTTAAAATCTTCTGAAGACATACGATCGCTTTGTGTTATGGACAGAGCAAAAAAAGAAAAAAAAAAAGCCTAATAAACCAAACAGAAACTTCTTGCATCTGCACCAACAGGTGTCAGTATACAGTACAGTCCAATATCATTTAATTTGTATATTATGTATGTGTATGCTGTTCTTTATAGTCAAGTACAACCAGTGGCGTAACTTTGCTTTGAAAAGTGGTGGGGACACTGCGCAACTCGTTTTGCTAGTTTTTTATTTAATAAACTAATTTACTTGGGGACTGGGTTTAGAGTTGGACAAACTTAATTTTTGCTTTTCAAAAATACATCGATGTACCAGGGGCGGTACCAGATGAGAAAACGTTTTTCAATTCCAGTGCAAAGAGGCAAATTAGAGGCATTTGGTGGCCAGAAAAATAATATTCATAAGTAATGCCGTGGTTTAACCATTAGATGCCCGTATGGCTGTTTAATAAATATAGCCTACATGTATTTAGCTCTACTCTAGTTGCTCAAGAGTTTTGCCGGTCATAATTGCTTACTTATTTTTTTTAGGTTTTGCATTTTAATGTATATTTAGACATTATCAAACACTTGATATTTATAAGTTAAAATTTTTTGTTCATGTTAAATTAAAAAATGTTAAATTTGAAAAGGTTAGTTACTCACATTCTGCAGTGTTATTTTGTGATATTCACATAAGCATACAACAAAAGTGAATATTACAAAAGACAAGCAAGTTTAAAATAATATTTAAAAAAACACAAGGCAACCAATTCATAGTTTTCAGTCACGTGACTGGCTTGAAGACCTCATCTTTGCCCCCGACACTGACTCAGAAAGCACTAGTTTATTAATAAATAATTAAAATGTCTTCTTTTCCCCCGACACGTTCATAATCACTTTGCTTTATGCGCGAGCTTGAGCGCGGAATAGGCTCTAGCCTAATACGTCTGCCTATAGCCTATATTGAAGTATGGTTAATATATTATTATATTAATCAATTTAATATAACGTGCGACTAGTTGACTAGAAAAATCTTTAGTAGAGGGCAGGCCTACTTAGCACAAGGAAGCTCTCCATTTTTAAAATACAATGCTATAGCCTAATGACATTACGAAAAGTGCGACAGCTGCAAATCACGTCGTTATTGCACTGCACGAGTTATGCATGCGTAAGGAGTCAAATGTTGTTTTGTTTTTTTTGTTTTTTTATCACCCTAATTAGATTATGAAGAATGATTTGTTGATCTTGTTTTCCCTTTAATACATACCTTCCGCAATATATTTTTCAATTACTTTCAAAAAGTTGTAGGGACAATATCGACCCTGGCAAAAAGTGGTGGGGACATGTCCCACCCGTCCCACCCGCAAATTGCGCCTATGAATACAACAGTCTAAAATGCCCATCTGTCCATTTCCATATCCACTTCCAGTGAAGTGATGTTTTGCAAACTTGTTCCCTGTGCCATTTTCAGTGTCCTTCTGGCAGACCATATACACTCTCTGTGAATTAGAATCTCACTTGAGATACCCAAATACCCTGTTTGTTATTGTTTACAAGGAACATACATGCAGTGATCAAGGCTGGCATTGTTTTTTTGAATGCAATTATTATTTTACCCCTCTTTTAAAGGCAGCTTTGTACAATGTAACCTAGCTAACTCTTAGTTGGAACATACCCATACAGTTTATTTTGCCAGTATAGCTATGTTCTCTTTAGAACTAGGAACAATGGACAACCATGTGAACCAAGTAGAATTGTGACAAGGAATGACCTGTTATAATGCTTTAAGTGGACATGCAAGATCCTGATATATTCACACTGGGTGGATGTTGTTTTTTTGTGAATGAATGTGAGGGGAAGAAACTAATCTTGATCACTCTGTTGCAGGTCTGACGGATGAGAAAGTGAAGGCTTATCTCTCCCTTCACCCGCAGATGCTGGATGAGTTTGTGCTGGAGAGTGTGAGTTCGGAGACCGTAGACAGATGGCTGAAACGGAAAAACAGCAGCCAGCCTGCAGGTACGGACTCATGGCCATGTGCTCCAATATTCTTCAATAAGAGCCCTGTGCTCTAAAAATAGTGCTGTGATTACTTACTGTGACGATGTCTTTGATTTTGAGGATGATTTTTTTTTTGTGGACATAGTGTTTTATTTTTCACAAGTGTAAACATTAATATTTTGACTGCATTTTGTTTCTATGCTTATTTGCTGGTAAATGTACTGTATGCTTCTGGAAAAAAAAAATGTAACAGTGTTTCTCAGCTGATGGGTCTCTGGTTTGGTCCTAAAAAAATAAAAAAATGCAACAATTAGTTGAGATAAAATGCAGCTAGCCATATAATCATAAATATCAAAATAAATAGACTTAAAATAATATGGTTTAAATCGGATATTCAGGAGACTTCCCATATCGTTTTTGCTAATGTCAAAGGTTGTGTTTCCACTCAAACTATGGTGTTTTGGAACAAATTCTGTGCCTTGGTAAGTTGGTAATATGACTAGTACTATTATAATATCTATTATAATAAGCTGTGTTTGCTCTATCTATGAGGATGGGCCTCAGCAATTTAAGTTAATTTTAATACATTATACATTTTCAATTTAAAGGGCTTTTTTTTTCCTTTTATAAAATGAACTTTTTCTACTGTTTTGTATCAACACTTGATTAAAATTAAAAAAGAACTATATAGACATTTTAAAAAACTAAAATTACAGAACACAAATACTATATACTATAAATATTATAACTTTAAGATTAAGAAAATATAATTCATTAATACTGCATATTTCTATTTGGATACTGGTTGTGCATGTCAGAAATGTTGTACATTTTGTATGCTTGTTCATTATTACAAATATTCTTACACATTTGAGGCAAAACATATTAATTATTCAGTTTTAATATCTTAATCATATATCTTTTCCATATGGACAGGAATCTATATGGTACAGTAAAGTTTTTCTTTCTTTCTTTTTTTTTCTCAGTACCCTATAATAAATAATTTTCTTTTTGTTCTTCCATATGTTCCATTTTGATTTAGATTATTGGTTGGTGTACCATTCATGATAACATGTGTTTGAGCCAACAAAACTGCATCAATACACTTGACATGCACACCTCTCCTGTGCATGTGTCTGTGTGTATGTAACCTGAGCAGCAAAGACTGCAGAAGGCTAAAGGGTTAGTGCACTGGTGAAAGTATGGGAGAGGGGGCCTGCTGGGTCCTTATGGGTCATTAGGGCTATTTAAGCGGGACTGGCTTCTCTGTGCACAGCATGCTTCATGCTATGGCCTGCTCCACTCGACCCATCACATCCATCAAGGGCCCACATGGGTTGGCGGCCAGCCCAGCTCAGCTACTGACGTCAGAGCCAACCTCCAGGGGCATGCAGTCGGTCGGGAGGGGGACTGGAGGAGGGTGAATGTGTCGCATTTTGGGAATGTTTTCTGCATGAGTGCAGCAGAGCTCTCTCACAGGCAGCCGGCTGATGGTTAACCTCGGCTCTGCTCGGCAGGCTGGGCAGCAGTATTTTTCTCAGGCACCGTTTCAACATCAAACTCTCTACAAACCATGTGATGCATATCAAGCAGTGCTTTGAATTAGCATGCATGTTAGCTTTCAAATTCTTTGTGCATGTCAATGCTCAAAGTTTTTTTTTTTTGTTGTTTGTTTTTTGTTTTTCCCCACTGACCATCGATTAAAGCATATGGTCATAGTGTTTTATTTTTCACAAGTGTAAACATTAATATTTTGACTGCATTTTGTTTCTATGCTTATTTGCTGGTAAATGTACTGTATGCTTCTGGAAAAAAAAAATTTAACAGTGTTTCTCAGCTGATGGGTCTCTGGTTTGGTCCTAAAAAAATTAAAAAATGCAACAATTAGTTGAGATAAAATGCAGCTAGCCATATAATCATAAATATCAAAATAAATAGACTTAAAATAATATGGTTTAAATCGGATATTCAGGAGACTTCCCATATCGTTTTTGCTAATGTCAAAGGTTGTGTTTCCACTCAAACTATGGTGTTTTGGAACAAATTCTGTGCCTTGGTAAGTTGGTAATATGACTAGTACTATTATAATATCTATTATAATAAGCTGTGTTTGCTCTATCTATGAGGATGGGCCTCAGCAATTTAAGTTAATTTTAATACATTATACATTTTCAATTTAAAGGGCTTTTTTTTTCCTTTTATAAAATGAACTTTTTCTACTGTTTTGTATCAACACTTGATTAAAATTAAAAAAGAACTATATAGACATTTTAAAAAACTAAAATTACAGAACACAAATACTATATACTATAAATATTATAACTTTAAGATTAAGAAAATATAATTCATTAATACTGCATATTTCTATTTGGATACTGGTTGTGCATGTCAGAAATGTTGTACATTTTGTATGCTTGTTCATTATTACAAATATTCTTACACATTTGAGGCAAAACATATTAATTATTCAGTTTTAATATCTTAATCATATATCTTTTCCATATGGACAGGAATCTATATGGTACAGTAAAGTTTTTCTTTCTTTCTTTTTTTTTCTCAGTACCCTATAATAAATAATTTTCTTTTTGTTCTTCCATATGTTCCATTTTGATTTAGATTATTGGTTGGTGTACCATTCATGATAACATGTGTTTGAGCCAACAAAACTGCATCAATACACTTGACATGCACACCTCTCCTGTGCATGTGTCTGTGTGTATGTAACCTGAGCAGCAAAGACTGCAGAAGGCTAAAGGGTTAGTGCACTGGTGAAAGTATGGGAGAGGGGGCCTGCTGGGTCCTTATGGGTCATTAGGGCTATTTAAGCGGGACTGGCTTCTCTGTGCACAGCATGCTTCATGCTATGGCCTGCTCCACTCGACCCATCACATCCATCAAGGGCCCACATGGGTTGGCGGCCAGCCCAGCTCAGCTACTGACGTCAGAGCCAACCTCCAGGGGCATGCAGTCGGTCGGGAGGGGGACTGGAGGAGGGTGAATGTGTCGCATTTTGGGAATGTTTTCTGCATGAGTGCAGCAGAGCTCTCTCACAGGCAGCCGGCTGATGGTTAACCTCGGCTCTGCTCGGCAGGCTGGGCAGCAGTATTTTTCTCAGGCACCGTTTCAACATCAAACTCTCTACAAACCATGTGATGCATATCAAGCAGTGCTTTGAATTAGCATGCATGTTAGCTTTCAAATTCTTTGTGCATGTCAATGCTCAAAGTTTTTTTTTTTTGTTGTTTGTTTTTTGTTTTTCCCCACTGACCATCGATTAAAGCATATGGTCCAGAATGTGGGATAAATCAACCAAGACACGTTACATTTCATATCTGTTCATCCTGTGTAACGAATCAGCTCATGGGAAATATGAATAATTAATCATAACACTGATCATCTTCTAAAAGACATTTTTTTATTATTTTTTTTTTTATTTAGCTGTACAACCTAGTGGTATACAAAAACTCCCTGAATTTTGACAACGAATGTACAGTTCGATACTGTTATCTCAGTGTTTAAGTTTAATATATATATATAGAAGCATTTTCAAATTAGGTATTGAGGGTGTAGATTCTGTGTGGGCCTGGTCATTAGTACACAATAAACTCTCTGAACAACTTCCACAATAACAATGAGCTTCAGGCCCTCCCTGTGAGAGATGAAAACCTCTGCTGTCCTCTGTCATGTATTTCACTGTGTATGCACAGTGCTCACTTACCACATCATGCTAAAGACTAATGAGGTTTCGAGCTTAATTGTCTTTGGTTCTTATAGAACTTATGTACCAGAGAAACAAGTGCACAGCCATCTATAGAATTTTGTTTTTGAACTTTGTATGTTTCTATGGCATCACTGTTGACGAGTAATTAGTTGGTGAAGTGGAATTACTTATTGTAGAGTTAACAAAAGTTATTATGAGCATTGTAATGTTCGAAGCGAATGTCATAATAGTTGTCAGTAGACCGGGAAGATTTTAAAAGATTTTAAAGAGTGGTTCATTCATAAATCCGTAAGATCTTACAGTGGAAAGACAAACCGGAAGACAGAAGACTACGAGCGCTGCGCTGAAAAGGGCCAGAGCTACATAAGGTGTGTATGAGTCTGTGAGCAGCTACAGCCCGTTGAACAGTCAAGTGAGTTATAGTAGTACATATAGTATCTGAGAATGTAGAATAATCAGGATTATGTTGGGACATTTTTTGGTAACACTTTATTTCGATAGTCCACTTTAGACATTCTATTAACAGTAAGTAACTTTGCAACTACATGTCAACTAGCAGTTAGTAGAGTATTAGTAGACTGCTTAATATCTTCTAAAACTTTGTCAACTTATTCTACTAACCCTAAACCTACCCTAACAGTCTACTCTGAGAGTTAGTAGACATGTAGTTGCAAATTAATGAGAATTAGTTGACATGTAGTTACAAAGTTACTTATAGTTAATAGAATGTCTAAAGTGGACTATCGAAATAAAGTGTAACCCATTTTTTTTTTCCAATTTTAAAAATTAAACATGTTCTGCAGAAGAAGACAAAGAGGGCTGGAATGGCAGAGCTGGTAAATGATGACAGATTTTTCAAATGACCACGTTCAGGAGATTCAGAGAATAAGAGACTATCGGTGCAGGTTAATCACAAGGCTCTAATTGAGAAAAGCAAAAGGACAACTTTCACAGAATTCCAAGTAAAATCTGAACATGTTTTATTTGATAGGTCACAAGTGTACTTGTGAGATCACTGATTAGTTTAATAATAGTTTGTCCTAATCTGGTGTACTTCTTACTGTCGTGAGCTGTGGAGATACCCGGACATCATATGATTCCACTGTTGTAGTGAATGTGGGAGCCTCATTACAGGCCTAACAGCAGGGCCAGTGGCTTCAGTCCATGTGATGCGATGCTCTTCGTATCTTTCTGTTCCAACTTTTGCAAATACCGTGACCTGTAATACCTCTAGCATGTCAGGCGTTTTTGCAATTAATGAAGATTCTACAGTCAAAGTACCATCCGTCTTTTTGTG